TTTTTTTTTTTTTAAATTTTAAATTTAAATTTTTGTCACATAACAGCAATATGTATTTTTTTTATTTTTTATATATAATAGTAATTTTAAGTTAGTTTTTATAAAAGATCAGATATCATTTACATTTAAAATGTCAGATAAACCAAAAAAAAACATCAGTTTCAAAAAGTAATGAAGATTATTTTTATGTTAAAAATGTTAAAGAGTTAGAAGGTGGCCGTTCACGTAGCCAAGTCAGTCGTTTTGCTCCAGCTCCAACTGCAGAGTCATCAAAGGGTAGAGGTTTTGAACAAAAATCAGATGTTCAAACATTAAGAGATATCCCAGAAAGTAATTATCAATATTTTTATAATAAAAAAAAAAAAAAGAAAAATTTCTATTTTTTTTTTTTAATAATATTTATTGAATATTAACCTTTTTTTTATTTTCTTTTTAATAGTATTTAAAAATATTAATAATAAAATCAAAACTGCAGAAGATAGACAAGAGTTAGTTGGTATCCATCAAATTATCTTTGGTAGAGCTGGTAAACAAGGTGAAAATATTAAAACCAATATTTTAGGTTTTAGTGGTTTTGCTAATGGAGAAGATAAAGAAAAAATCAGTGATCGTATTGCCAATAAACTCGAGGTCGATGATTTTGATTATTATTTTGATCTCTTTTTAATCAAGAAACCAAAATCAGAAGAAAAGTATGTTGATGCTCTTGTTGATTTCCTTTTTGACCCACAAAACACAGAAAGAGCTGAGCCATCCAATGATAAAAAGAGAAAGAGCGACCAAATCGATGAAAAGAAGGAAAAAAAAGAAAATAAAGATAAGAAAGAGAAAAAAGACAAGAAAGAACCAAAAGAAAAGAAAGAAAAAGAATCAAAAGAAAAGAAAGAAAAGGAACCAAAGGAAAAAAAAGAAACCAAAAAACAAAAAGTTGAAGAAAGTGAAAAAAAAGATGCCACTGGAGAAAAGAAGGTTACTAAAAAGGATACTACAGCAGCTACTAAAAAGAAAGAAGAAGAGGCCAATACCACTAATAATAAAGAGGAGTCAACTGAAGCTGAAAAGAAGCCAGGAAAAAAACCAGGTAAGAAAGCTGCTGCCAAAAAAGATGAAGAACCAAAAGAAAAAGAAAAAGAAAAGGAAAAGGAAAAAGAAAAAGAAAAAGATGAAGATAAAACTGTAGGTGCATCAGATACTGAAAAACCAAAAGCTGCTGAAAAGAAGAAACCAGCTGCCTCCACTACCAAAAAAGCTGCTGCTAAAAAAGAAGATAAAACTGCCTCATCAGAAGAGCCAAAAGATGAAAAAGAAAAAACACCAGATGAAGCCTCAACCAAAGTAAAGAAAGTTCCAGCAGCCACTTCAAAAAAAGCAGCAGCCAAAGCAAAATAAATTAATTTAAATTCATCTCTTTCAAATTTGTATAATTCACCATTTTTTTTTTTTTTTTTTTTTTTTAAAAAATAAAAAAAAAACTAAAAACAAACAAGTAAATATTTAATAAATTTAAAGTTAAAAAAAAAAAAAAAAAATAGATTTTTAGAGTTGTTTTATTTTATTTGATTTATTTGTTAAAAAAAAAAGGACCAAGATTTTTTTAATTTTATTTTATTTTTCTTTTTTTTCTTTTTTTTAAAATTTTTTTTTATATTTTTTATTTTTATTTTTTTTAATAATTTTTTTATATTTTTTTAAGTAAACCGTTGTTTTATTTTTGTAATACATTTTAGATATCAATCAACCAACACTTTGGACAAAATACAGGTTTTTTTTTTTTCTTTTTAATTATTTTTTGTTTTTTTTTATAAAACAATAATAAAAATAAATACTTTTTTTTTTTGCAACCATGATAACATTATATTCATATGTATTAAATTGGATTGGATCAATAGCGTGTTTTGTTGGTTGCTTATTTATTATTGCACATTTTTGTTGGATACCTCTTTTACGTACATCACTATCTAAAATTATTATATTTCCAACATTTGTTTTATTACTATACGACCTCATATCATTTCCATCATTTATATCAAAAAATATTAGTTTATATATAAACAGATCAACGATTTTATGTAATTTAGAGGAATCTATACTTCAGTTTTTGATAGTATCAAATTTTATGTGGTCTGTTTGTATTTCAGTAAAGTAAGTTTATAATGTTTTATAGTAGCATTAATAATAATATAATAATATTAATTTTAATTTATAAATAGTTTATTGTATTTATGTTTTAACTCAAATAAAAATTTAAAAAAGAAAGAACTTTTGTATCACCTTGTTTCATGGGGAATACCACTTTTGGTGGTGGTAATTTCAAAAATACCTAATATGATTAGTGACAATGGTAATCAGTAAGTACAACAACAACAACAACAAATAATATTTTATACTAACACCATCATATTTATTAGATGCAGATATAAAAGTCCAAATTATATAAAGTTTTATTTAGAAAATACAATTTTTATAGCAATTATAACATTCAATTTTATTGTAGCATTTATAACGATTAAGCATATTATCAGTGGTAATTTAAGAGAATCAGAGACCAATACAACATCAGTATTATTTATAAACGAAAAGAAGATCACAACCAAAAAAATTGTTTGGAGACTTTTGTTATATCCAAGTATTTTATCAATTTGTTATTTAATGACATTGGTATTAACAATTTATCAATTTACTGTATCATCAAAGGATCTAGCCGTTCAAAATAGATTAAATGCTTTACTTTATACAGCTAAGGGTGTATTTTTACTTCAAGGTTTTTTTAATGCTTTAGTTTATTTAAGATCATCAAAATTAAGGGATCGTTATAAAAGAATATATATATTTAAGAGAATATGTTGGCCAGATCTTGTTGATTATCAATCAATTAATAATCAACAATAAAATATCAAATGACTAGAATAAAATAATACTAATCATAATAATAGTCATAATAATAATCATAGTAATAATAGTTATAATATTAATAACAATATTATTAAATAATACCAGTAGTAATAATAGTATTATTTTTAAAAATAATTAAAATTTAATTGTTTTTAAAATTTAATATAGAAATCATATTTATTTTTTTTTTTTTTTTTTTTAATTATTAAAAATATTTTTAAATAAACTCATTTTTAAAATTATTATCACAACTATTTTTTAAATTAAATTATATATTTTTTTTTTTTCTATTTCTATTTTTGTCAATAAACTGAAAAAAAAAAATTTTCATTAAGAAAAGTGATTTGATGATTAAAGTGTGTTAAGAAAAAATTTGATTATTTTTAAAATTTTTAATTTTTTTTAATTTTTTTAATTTTTTTTGAATTTATTGTCAGTATTATGAATTTTTTTTTTTAACATAAATAACCCCATTAACATTTTATTTTTCTAATTATTTTTTATTAGTTTCACCACCATAATAATAAAAACAACTAGTTATAATAATAATAATAAAATATTATTATTTGGAAAAAAAAAATGGCAGCAGAATTAGAAACTTATAATGAAAATATTAAAATGGCATTTATGATGTGCTTTCTTAGTGGACTTTCAACTGCTATTGGTATGTATAAGCCATAATAATAATAAACTACAGATATAGATTACTAAATTTTAATTTTAAAATATATTTTCAGGTGGATTATATGTTGTTTTTGTAAAAAATCAAAGTTATAAAGTTTTAGGTCATTTATTATCTTTTTCATCAGGTGTTATGATTTATATATCATTTATGGATTTGTTACCAGAAGCTATCGCAGAAATTGGTTTCTTTAATTCAAATCTATGGGTAATTATTCTTAATTTTTTTAGATTTAATTAAACTTTATTAATTCTAAAAAAAAATTTTTTTCAATTTTTTTTTTTAATTTTCTGAATTTTAAATAAATTAAGTTTTTCTTTGGTATGATATTTTTTGCAGTCATTTTAAAGGTAATCCCACATGATCACGAAGAGGAGGAGAGTGATCATGGTCATGGTCATAATAGCACCAAAGTAGAAAAAGAAAATAAAGAAGAAAATAAACAAGATAAAAATATTGTAAAGAATAGAAAGAATAATAGCAATAACAACAACAACAACAACAACAACAGTAATAATAAAAAGCCAATAAATGCTACAATAAATAAAAAAGATAAAAAAGATCATTATTTAAATATGGTTGGAATTAGAACAGCTATTGGTGTTAGTCTTCATAATTTTCCAGAGGGTGTTGCCGTTTATTTATCATGTCTTAAAGGTGTTGATGTTGGTTTGCCATTGATGCTTGCCATTGCAGCCCACAATATACCTGAAGGTATGGCTGTTGCAGCACCAATTTATAGTGCCACCAATAGTAAATGGAAAGCTTTTAAATATTGTTTATATAGTGGCCTTTGCGAACCAATTGGTGCAGTAGTTTTCGGTATTATTTTTAATAGTTTCATGACACCTTATTTAATTCAATCAATGTTAGCTGCTGGTAAGTTTTAGTACTTTAGGTTTTTATATACTTTTGGTTATTAATTATTTTTTTAATTTTTTTTTCTAAATTATAGTCGCAGGTATTATGGTATTTATGGTATTAAAAGAATTATTACCAGCTTCATTAAAATATATTTCAGTTAATGAATCTGTTTTCTCAAATATAGTTGGTATGATGTTTTTCTTCTTTTCAATTCATTACTTGCATCAAATGCTTCCACACGATCATGGCTCTGGTGATCATGGTCATTCACACGGTTCACATGGCCACTCACACGGTCATTCACACAATAGTCCACAAGCTCAAGGTATTAATTTTGAAAAGCCTCAAAAAAGCTCTCATTTTAATGCCTTTGAATAAATTTATTTTTAATTAAAAAAATAAATATTTCCTTTTTAAATTATTTTAATAAAAATTGTTTTTTTTATTTTTTTTTGTTTAATAGATCAATTTTATAATAAAAAAACTAGTTTTATAATTTTAAATTATTTAAATAAATAAAATTGTTTTTTTTTTAATAGCCATAATATTATTAATTTTATTATTTTTTATATTCATATATACATATATTTTAAAATGGGTTCAAATTATTCCTCGCCTAAAGGTTTATATTTTCCTTTAAAAGGAGTAGAGGTAATAAATGAAAAAGATGTTCAAACTGTAAAACTCTTTTTATTAATATGATTTATTTATTTAAATTTGTATTAATTATTTTTTATTTTCTGCAGAGTATTTATTATGGTTCACTCTCTGATACCTCATTATTTGAGTCCAATGAAAAAAATGAGGGAGTTTTAGCAAATTGCACAGTTAACGATACCTTTTTAGATATATTTATTAAATATACTATTCCCCATGGTTCTAATGTATCCTTTTAGTGATAAAAAATAAATAAATAAATATGATATAGTTTAAAAAAAAAAAAAATTATTTATTTGGTTTATAAAAGGTAAACTTTTTGAACATATAAATTGGCAGCATGATCACCTTTAGCAATATAGCCGAATGAATAGCTTGAACCATTTGCAATTCCGTTTTGATAGTTTGGTAAATCCATAATGGTGATACCATTGCTGAAGGTACATTTATCAACACCCCAGATTTGATTGGCATTTAGTTTAACAGCAGATGCAATAACAAGATCTTTAATTGAAACACCTGAATGGTTAATAATTTGAACTTGAACTTGAACACTTGGACCTTCTGAACCATCAGTCCATCTATTTACTACAGTTTGAACAATTTGAAGTTCATTGCATTGATAAACACATCTGAAAACACCTTTATCACAAATGCATGAATGTCCTATATTAATATTAAAAATAAAATTAGTAATATTTTTATAAAACCAATTATTTTCCACTAATTACCTGGAGCACAAGCATAACGACCACAAACATTAGCATTTGCAGATGTTGTTGCAATTGCTAATAAAGCTAATAATAAAATTGCAATAAATTTCATATTTTTTAAAAAAAGGTTTTTTTTAATTTTTTTATATTTTATAATTTTAAAATGAAATTATTGTATAAAAAATAATTTTATTTATAGTTTTTATTTTGAAATGTTTAATTTGTGAAAAAAAAAAAAAGAAACAATATTAAACATTAATAGTTTACCGTTTTTACAATTGTGAAATTGATCTACAAGATAAAGTTTTTGTTTAATTTAAATGATTTTTTAGATGACATATTTAAAAATGTATAAATAAAACATTTATAAATATAAATGTTTTATTCATTGAAAAAGATATCTTTTCTCAAAAAAAAAAAAAAAAAAAAATTACGTTTTAAATTATTTTTTTTTTTTAATTTTCTTTTTTTTTTAAAACCCAATATTTATTAAAACAAACGATATAAATTTTTCATTTTTTTTTTAAACTCGCACATATAGAACAAAGAAATGCAATTCGATTTTTCAGAAGGATATCCAGTATTAGAAACAGAAAGACTTATTATAAAGAGAATAACCAGGGAACATTCTGAAGGTAAGATAATAATTTAAAACTTATATTTAAAACATATTAATTAATAGGCTTTTTTTTTTTTTTTTTAATTAAAAATAGATTTGTTTGTTATTAGATCAGATGCAGGTTAGTAAAATAAATCTTAATAAATTAAATAAAGGTTTATGGTTATTAATAAATTTATTTATTTAAATATAGAATCTATGGCATTTGTACCACGTCCATTAGCAAAAACTATTGATGATGTCAATAAATGGATAGACGAGTGTAATAAACTTATTGATTCAAAAGACATGGTTAATTTTGGCTTTTTTTTAAAAGAAACTGGTAAAATTATTGGTATTATAGGGTATGTCAGAATGAAAAAAGAACATTTCAGAGGCGAAATTGGTTATATTTGCCACAGTAAACATCATAGAAAAGGATACACTTCAGAGGCATTTGATGCAGTTGTTGAGTTTGGCTTTAAGGTATTAAAATTCCACACCATCGAAGCTGTTATTGACGCTACTAACGAAAAGTCACTTGGTTTAATTTGTAAGTTGTTTAATAATAATCTTTTTTTAATAAATTGATCGATTAATATTAATAATTTCACATTTTTATTTTTATATAGCAAAAAAGAATGGTTTTAAACTTGAGGCCCAATTTAGAGATTGTTTTTACTATGAGGGCAAATTTTGTTCTCTTAATCACTTTTGTAAATTAAATCCATACGAATAATTAATTTAATTGAATTTAAAAGTAAAAATAAATTTGTAGTAAAATGTATTTTAAAAAAAAAAAAAAAAAAAAAAAAAAAATTAGTTTTTAGTTTTTAGAAAATTTTATTTTTTTTAATTTATTTCGAAATATTTTTTCAGTATCCACTGGTTTCATATGAAAATAATAGATTAAAACAAACAAACGATAATTTATTTTTTAATAAAAAAAAAAAGATGAAAAATTTAAAATCAACAACAATTAAACAAATTAGAAATCATTTATTAAATGGAGAAATCAAAGTGCAAGATTTAATAAAAAATACATTTAATAATATAAATAAAGATGGCGAAAATTATTTAAATACATTTGTGACAGTAGAATCATTGGATAACCTAGAAAAGCAAATAAATGAATCTCAAGAAAGATACGCAAATGGTACAAATAAAAAGTTAGATGGTTTACCAATAGCCATTAAAGATAATTTTACAACAAAAGGAATTAAAACAACATGTGGGTCAAATATTTTATCAAGTGGGTATTAATTCTTTGTACAATACAATATACTATCAAATTTAAACTATAAACTAATTCTAATTGTTTTTATTAAATGCTTTTAGATTATATACCAACTTTTGATGCAACAGTATGTAAAAAATTAAAAGATGAAGGTGCAATTATAATAGGTAAAACAAATATGGACGAGTTTGGTATGGGATCATCATCAACAAATAGCTATTATGGTAGTGTTATTAATCCATGGAGTAAGAAAGGAGATCAAAATGAATTATATGTTGCTGGTGGTTCATCGGGTGGATCGGCTGCAGCAATTGCTGCTGGATATTGTATGGGCGCACTTGGTAGTGATACTGGTGGTTCAATTAGACTACCAGCATCTTATTGTGGGGTTGTAGGTTACAAACCATCCTATGGTATTATTTCACGTTATGGTTTAGTAGCATATGCATCATCATTGGATACAGCCGGTGTATTAACCAATAATTGTGATGATGCTGCCGAACTTTTAGATGTTTTAGTTGGCAAAGATACAGAAAATGATTCAACTTCAATTTCCTTTGGTAAAGATATCTTAAAAGAATACAAAAACAAACTATCGACAAAAACAATTAAAGATTTGGTATTTGGTATCCCAACAGATTATTTAGTTAAAGAATTAGACCCAGATATTTTAGAACTTTGGCAACAAGTTGTATCAGAAATTGAATTGCATGGTGGTAAAGTGGTTGCTGTTGATTTACCTCACACACGTTATGCTCTTCCAGCGTATTATTTATTAGCAACATCAGAAGCCTCATCAAATCTTTCAAGATTCGATGGTGTTAGATATGGTTATAGACACGAATTACATTCAGAGGATGTAGGTTTAGGTTTGAAAGATATGTACACTAAAACCAGAACCGAAGGTTTTGGTGAAGAAGTAAAAAAAAGAATTATTTTAGGTTCAATGTCATTATCGAGAACTCAATATGATAATTTTTATACTAAAGCTCAAAAAATAAGAAGATTGGTTTCAGATGATTTCAAATCAGTTTTCGGTAATCAAAAAGTAGATGTTTTAATTACACCAGTTGCACCATCACCAGCATTTAAACAAAATCAAAAATTAGATCCTATCCATGTTTATATAAATGATATTATGACAATTCCAATTAGTTTGGCTGGTGTACCCGCTGTTTCAGTTCCATTAAAACTCTCTAAAGAAAACTTACCAATTAGTGTACAATTAGTTTCCGACCGTTTAAACGATGATACTTTATTATTTGCAGCAAATCTTTTAATGAATTTTGATTCATTTAAAGATTTTAATTTAAAGCATCCAACTTTTTTAAAATAATATAAAAATAAAAAAAATAAAAATGATAAAATAAACAACAAATATTGTTTGTTTTATAATTATTTATAATCTAAAAGAATTTTTTATTACAATAGTTATAGCCATACTCTTCATATTCCTGTCTTGAAACTGTATATTTTAAATAATCTGGTTGTTGTGCTAATCTTATACCACCATATAATGGTGATAAAATTGGGCTGATAGGGAAAAAAAAATTAAATATTATTAGAAATATGATTTAAATATAATTAATAGAATTGAATTTTATAATTACTCTTGAGGTTGAAAAATGTTTATATTATATTGCTCGGGTGCCAATCTTCTTAACTCTAATTCCAATCTTTGTTTTAAACCAGGGAAAAGTGTTGAACCACCCAATAAAACTATATTTGAATATAAAGGAATATGTAAATTTGGGTTTGTACAATTGATGGACTGAACGATTGACTCTGCTAAACCAGCTTGGTTCATACCAATATCTGATGGATTAAATAATAACTCTGGTACTGTAAATCTTTCATTTACCAATGTTAAAACTTGATCCATATCTTCATCTTTTTCATTATTATTATTACTATTACTATTATTGTTACTATCTAAATTTTCTTTAATATCATTATCACTACTATTAATTTGCTCTTTTGGTTTTTTTATATATCCTGTTTTATTATTTGAATCGTTATAATTTGGTAAAACATAATCTAATCTTAATGGTGATTTTTCTCTTTCTTTTTGACAAGTTGTTAAATCTTTCATAAAATCTGTGGAAATGAAACAGGTTCTCTCTTTGATAATATTCATTAATTTGGTTTCGTGCATCATATCCCAATATCTAAATGATACGATTTCCTTTAAATAATTTGTCATAATTTTTCCTCCAATTCCAAATCTTTTTATTGCGTAATTTAATTTGGTGTTTTGAAAATGAGGTACAATATGAGTTGCTGAATACCCACAATCTACTACTAAATGGCAAGGTGATTTCAAAAGTAATTGCATGTTTGCATCTAAAGGTGGTTGTAGTTGTTGCATTTGGTGCTGTAATAGTTGCTGCTTAATGTTTACAAGACCCAATGTTGATGGACATGTTAAATAAAGTGATTTAAATTTATATTGTTCATAAACTACCTCATACATTGTCTTTCTAATCTCCTCCAATGCGAATGGCTCCTCTGTTAATAATAAATTATAATCCTGTGGTTTTACTTTCATATCATCTCTCTTGAATACATAGTCCCATATTTCTTTTTCTAATGACCAATTTGTAATATATCCTTTCTCCATTGGGTTTCTGCATTTAACTTCTGATGGGTTACTATAATTGCTTAAGTCGTCCCCTAATAATGAATGTTTATCATTTTTAACTTTGCCACTTTGGTTTGGAATAACTCTAATCGCAATAGTTGTTAATATCTTTTTTTAGTTTAATAATTAAAGTAAATTTATTTATAACTTACAGATGACCTTGTGATGGATTATTTGTTGCAATTTTTAGAGTATATGCTCCATTATCTATAATTAATACTTTATTATTTGGATTTGATGCATATATAGATTGTGGTCCTGATCCAATAATTGTATTTGATGTAGTACTCATTTAATATATATTTATTAATTTAAAAAATTAAAAAAAAAAAAAAAATTTAAAAAATTAAAAAAAAAAATAAAATAAAAAAAAAAAAAAAAAAATTTAAAAAAAAGGTGTAAATTATATGGACTCCATATAATTTGTTGAGAGTGTTTGATGGGCTTCCAAACCAGAGGATTTTGAAATAAAGTAAACAAATACCGTTAATACTTTTAACTTGCATTGTACGGACATCCAAAGTTAGTTTAACTTTGTTATAATATTACTTATTATTGTAACTAATGATTAAAACAGGAATTTTTTTCATTGTAATAGCTTCAATGTACTTCTCTAAGGATATTATCTTTAATAACTACTTAATTTCTTGGTCTATTATCAAATTTGTTTTATTAATATGGTGAACATTTTGGTTCAATAGGTCTTCCAATTTTTTTTTGGCTACATTAGGGTGGTTGTATTCCTATTATTATTTTTATTATATGAGGAAATAAAATTAAAATTGAATAATGAATTATTAATTAATGAATAACTGTATTACCCATCCTCCATCATTTGCTTGGTATTGACGATGTCAACTTTTGTTATATCTAACTTTATTATTAATAATAATATCTAATATTAATTATTATTGTTATTTGACATTTTATGTTTAAAATGATTTATTTAATATCAAATAAATATATTTTAAAAAAATAAGAAATTAAAAAAAAAAAAAAAATTATTTCAAAAAAAAATTTTATAAAAAGAATTATCTTTTTTTTTATTTAATGGGTTTAATTAAAAAAATTTAAATAAAAATAAAATAAAGGCAGCAGTTATTAAAATAATGAAACTTGGGTGGTAATAAGGAAAACTGTTGAACCCACAGCTATTTAATTGGACAAACTGATATACTGAAATCTAGTACTTGTGTCACGTTGTTAAGGTTTTTTGGCTACCGGATAGGATCCACTAAATCTTTTCTATATCTAAAACCATTCGATGATACCATAGTTGCTTGGCCAGAACAATGTCTGATATTCATCAAATAGTTGATTAGAAAAAATTCATTGGTCTATTATTTCTATTTTATTTTTTTAATCTAATATTATCTATATTATTACTCTAATTATAATTTTATTTTTTTTATTGTCTAAAACAATAAAAAAAATAAATGGATGTTGTTGTGCGGTGGTGGGTTATTGCGGTGGTTGATGTTATTGCGGTGGTGGTGGTCCCTTTATGGTGTTGGTGGTGGTGGTCCCTTTATGGTGTTGGTGGTGGTGGTAGTCCCTTTTAAGGTGTTGGTGGTGGTGGTCCCCTTTATGGTGGTTGATTTTGTTGATGATGTTCGAATTGGTCTCTAATACAAAAATCTAAAAAAAATAGTTTGTTAATACATTACTACAGATATAATATTTAAATAATAAATACTATCCTATACCTACTTTTTCTTTTAAAATTTTCATAATTCTGGATAAGTTTTTTTGTGTGTTCGTAATCCGTCACACGTTTTCTTTCCTCGAATAATCTTTCGAGACCAGAATATTATTTTTTTAAATTTTTTTCATTATAATTTATTAATTTTCCATAGGTAAATCTATATAATTTTGAAAAAGTATAGATTCTAAAATGAAAATATAAATGTTAATATTGCCTTTTCAGACAAAGTGTCTGATGAAAAAATTTGGTTGATTAAATTTGTTGCTAATATTATTTCAATAATAATAAACCAGAAAATAAATTTCTTGTAGTTATTATCATGATAAGCTTTTGAGCTATTGTTTTTGGATTTCATATTAGCAATTATGGTTTCCATAGCTAAGACCTTTTTTTCAAAATTATCCTATATACAAATAAAGCTATAATTAATATTTATTTATTTTTTTTATAATGTATGTTATATGAGCGATAATTACCTTTTTTGAAAAATAATTGCCCATTTTTTGGTTTACTTTTTCTAATGGGTAAATTAAAATTTAAAATATTTATTTATAACTATTAACAAAAAAAAATATAATATAATTATTAAAAACACTGAAAGGAGAAATAAATAAATGAAATAAAAAAAATAATTTAATTCATTTTAATTATTATTTCCTTTTGTAAATATAATAGATTAGATCCAAACTCGGTATTCCCTTTTTTGTACATTCTATTAAATTTTTAATCTGTAGCTATCATAAAAGTAGTGATGATCTGTTTATTTTTTAAACACATCACCCAAATAAAAAAGTAATTTAATTAAAAAAAATTAAAAAAAATTAAAAAAAATTAAATTATAACCCCACCACACACTCTTTTTTATTATTATTATAAAAAGTGGCTGATATGTTTGGTAAATGAATTAATAAATTTTTATTTTTTTTAATTTTTGTGATGATAATTGATTTATAAATTTTTTTGATAATCATTAAATTGTACTAAATATACTTTTTTTGTTTGTTATTTGTCAATTTAATAAAACCCATTCTAAAAAGTTAAAACCTTAACCTAAAGAAAGAACCTCCACTCGATTAGTGAAGCGAAGGAATCAGAAATATCAAATACCAGTTTTAGGGTCTAAAAAAATATTGTGGTTAATGTTAGTATTTTCTAATAAAAATATAATTAAAATATTTACCTTTTTTCTAGTTTGCTTTAAAAGGAAATCTCTAACAAAGGTGTCTTTACTTTAAATAAATTTGGTCCTAGCTTTAAACCCATTTGAAAAATGCTCAGGGATTTTTTGTATATGGTTTTCATCCAAGGTTACATCACCACCAGTCATATATTTCAATTTGATTATTTTTTTTTATTTATGTGTTTTATTTTTTTATTTTTTTATTTTTTTTTTAGATGATTATTAAAAATTGCAAGCACTTTCCATATTTTTTAAAAAAAGATAATTATAAATATTAAAAAATAATAATAAAGTAATTTATTTCTTTACAATGATCAATAAAAAATACCATCAATTATTATAAATATATTTAAGTAAAAGTTAAAAAAAATTTAAAGAAATATCATATATTTAACAACCAAATAAAACTATGTATTTGAAAATTTTCATCAATGAATATTCAAATAATTCCATCAATGAATTTTCAGATAATCATTTCTATTTGTGGTAAAATTTAAAAAAAAATTTTTTTTAATTTACATTTTTCAATTTTATAAAATAATTTTTTTATTTTTTTTTTTATTTTTCTTTATTCATTAATATATACATTATTTATATAAATTAATCAACACTTTATTTTTTATTATAGCATTCCACCCATTAATAAGTTTTAATAACAATAACTATTTTTTTAAAATAAAATAAAATCCTTACACCAAATCACATTTCACATATCACTCTTTATTACAATTTAAAAAAAAAATGAACTATTTAACTAATGCATTTTACAGAATAAAAAATTATTTCTTCAGTGATAACAATAACAATAATAACAATAATAACAATAATGAAAGAAATACCTGCACACAACACACTAATTTAATAAATAATTTTTCCAACAATAATATTAATAATAATAATAATATTTATACACCTTTTAATAGATCCACAGACGTTACCAACCTATCCCCGACAAGCTCATCATCCAAAACTAATTCAAATTAAAAGCCAGAATCAAGCAATCTTTCTTTGAAACATCTGGAAATCATCCAATGAAAAAAAGACCATTGGAATTAGATGATGTATCAAAAAATATGATAGAAAAATTTACAAAAAAAAAAACTCGACGAAGAGAGTTTAAAAAAAGAAAAAGATCGTGCTGAAATGGAAAGATTAGAAAAAGAAAAAGAAAGGGAAGAAAAAGAGAAATTAGAAAGGGAACTTTTAGAAAATAATTTCCATTGTAATATTTGTCTAGAGCAAATAGAGACCATAGCAAACGCAACAATTGATTGCAATCATAAATTTTGCTTTGATTGCAAAGAATGGTCGAATGAAGCTAACACCTGTCCAACATGTAGATAAAGATTTAATAATATCAAAGTGAGTAATTTACACATTCATATTAATAATTAATAAATAAAACATATTAATTTATTTCAATTATTAATAATTTGCAGAGAGACAATTATGTTGAAGGTTTAGTAAATAGTGCTAATGTCCCATATAGAGCTCAAAGAGGATATAGACAGCTATATATTCAAAGTTTACTCCAAGATTTAGTACAAGAAGAAGAACTCCCATCAATTCCAATTGTATATGATTATCATCTCGAACCCTTACAATTCTTTTACTGGTTTAAAAAAGGATTAAAAAAATTCAAAATGTTCCAAAACAAAAAAATTCAAATGGTAACTTTTATTATAATATTTAATGTATATTTTATATTTAAATAAAAAAGAAACTAATATTTAATTTTAATACTTATTAGGTAAAATTCTATTTCTTTTTCAATATCCACACGTTGTTGAAATCACATATCAAACAATGGGGTTTTTGTTTATTCCTATTAGTTAATGTTTTAAATTGGTCTTTTAAACTCTTATAATATCATCTAATCAACCACAACACCCAAACTAATAGAGTGCAATCAAAACATTTCATAAAAAAAAACTTTTTAATGAAAATAAATATAAGAGAAAAAATAAAAAAATATAAATATATAAAAAATAATTTAAAATTAAAAATAAATATTAAAATATATTTGTAAAATATATTTGTAAAATTTAAACTATAGCTTAATTAATATTAATTAAGCTAATAATTGACATTTTATAATTTTGTTTTTATCTATTGAAATAAAGATTAAATTATTTTTTTTACATTTGTAAATTTGTGAAAGATAAATTCAAAATAATAATAGGGATACAAAAAAAAATATTGCCATATTAATTAAAAAAGGTAATGTGATTATAAAAACATGTTTTATTCTATATTTTATATACTTTATATATTTTATTTTTTTTTAGGGTTTTTTTTTTATTTTTTTTATTTTTTTTTTTAAATATTATATCATTATATTTCACACTCTCAATTTAACGAGTTTGGAAATAGAATGGTTTAACTTGAGTGGTTTTGGCATTATCGATAACTTGGAGTAAATTTTTAACACTTGATCTCCAAACAGAGAAACGTGAACCTAATTGAGTCCATTGTGATTTATTGAAAACTCTTTGAGTAGATGAACTATAAAATAAAATGATTAGAATTTTGTTATTGTTTAAAATATCTAAAATTATAAAATATTGATTAAAACTTACTTGACATTAACAATACGATTAAGTTGGTCTAATTTGGCATCTAATAATTCACCTTCCATGGCATTGATGACCCACATTTCAACTTCGTCTTCATTGATTTGGAGTTTTTGTGAGATTAAACTATATGGAACTTTACTTTGTTCAGAAGCTAAAGTGGCTAAAGATAAAAGACGGATTTTTTGTTTACAATCTTCAACATTGAGACCAATGGATTGAATTAAGTTTGGATTTTTGTCTTGGAATTGATTGAATGATTCTAATTGTTCGGTGGCAAAGATTTTCATTAATTCATAGATTTGAGAGTTATTATTGGCATTTGAAGTTTCTAAAAATTGAACAGCTGGTAAATCTAAAAGATAATCTGATTGATAAAGTTCTTGTAATGAAATTGACTCAATACAAACTCTAACAGCATCTTCTTGAGCTTCTGCTGAATCTTCTTTAGTGAAAGTTTGTAAAAATTTAACTAAATATTGGTGTGATAACATCCTATTATTATTTTTTATTATCATTTATTATTATTATTATTATTATTATTATTTATTGTTTTAAAAATAAAAAGAAATAATTAATAAACTAAAATATTTATAAATTTTAAATAATTGTATAAAATAGACTTACTTGTTCTTTTCTCTGAAGATATTTGAAATAAGTTTATATAATTTTCTTTTTTGTTGAGTATTTGATGACCAATCTTCTAACCAACCATCAACATCATCAATTTGATGTTTAACAAATTCGAGGTTATTTGATTCTGATGCTAATTTTACTAATGAAAAGAAAATTTCATATCTTTGAGCTGATTTTGGTTGGAATGAATTGAAAAGATTTGTTAAACTAAAAAATTATAATAATATAAATATAAATATTAATATATTGTTATTGTTTTAATATAAATAATCCTAAAAATAATAAAAATTCTATCGTTATTTTTTTTTTTTTACATTTTGATTTTTAAGTTTGAACTTTCAGTTGAGTGAGCTGATAAAGAATCTCTAATTTTTTGTGAAACAACATTTATTTCATCTTCGTTTTCTAATTTATGTAAAATAGTTAAAATAACGTTAAAGAAACCTTCAATATCTATATGATAAAATAAATAAAAAAATTAGAATTTGATTATATAAAATAATAATATTAAAAGTTAGACTATACATACCTTTATCTGAATCTTTGCATTCTTTGAATAAGAAATCAGTTTCAGTTAAAACGATTTTTGAAAGGAATTCAACAGTACGTTGTTCACCAACTAAAATTTGATAATCAGCAACAGAGTACTCTGAACCCTTTTTCTTTCTTAAGGTTTCAATATGGTTGATTAAATCGTTGTATAAATCCTCTAATGAAGCTAAATCGATGAAAATGGTCATTTCTTTTTAATTGGTTGTGTGTATGAACAAACTATTTATACAATAAATTTTTTAGTTCAAAAAAAAAAAATCAAAAAAAAAAAAAAAAATTTTTAAAAATTTTGAAAAAAAATTAAAAAAAAAAAAATTATAATTTTTTTTTTTCGTAATTTTTTATAAAAAATACAAATATGGTTTAAATAAAAACATTTATTTATTTATTTATTTATTTATATTATAATTTGAAATTAAAATAATAATATAGACTTATATATTTAGTTTTTTTTTTTTTTTTTTTTTTTTTCGATTTTATCAAAAATTTTTTTTTTTTAACTTTTTTTTAAATTTGTTTAGATTATCTAAACAATAATTATTCTAAATAATTTCACAATTTTAGATGAACAAATAATGTTAATAATAAATATAAAATTGGTACATTATCAGAATGACACCAAAAAAAAATAAAAAAATAAAAAAATAAAAAAAATAAAAAAATAAAATTTTTTTTTTTGTCGGTTTACCTTTTTTTTTTATAGTTGCAAATATAAACAAGGTACAGAATAACAAAATATTATTATATAATTCATTTATTATTTTTTTTTTCCGAAATAAAAAAACATGTTCCTTTCCAAAGGGATAATATTGTTATTTTATATAACAATATTATTATCAATAAATTTTGGAAAGGTAGTTTCAACATCATACACCTGCAATGTTGATCAAGATGCAAATATAAACCCAAATTCTCAAAATTATTGTTCATTTCAATCATCATATAGTGTGTAAGTAAATATATAAAAAAATTTATCACCAATATGGTTCTAACATTTTTCTTTTTTTTGTTTTAAATAAATAGTACATGTTTAAAAATTAATGATTGTATAAATAGTTTAAATAATATCGGCAACAGTAATATTTATAGTATCGCATTGGTTAATAGTCATTATAGCTATGATGGAAATTGTGACTTGGTTATTAAATCAAGCTCTCAATGGTCTTTTAGATCATTGGGGATAAATTCAACTATAGATTGTCAAAGTAAAGGATCATTTATAAAATCATCGATCTCAAGTATGGCATTTAGTAATTTAATTATTACAAACACTATAAATTCAGCAATCATTTCAAATTCATCAAATTCATTACCAGTTATAACAGTTAGCCATGTAACTTTTATTAATTGTACAACCAATGGTGACGGTGGTGCTCTTCAAATCCAATCTCCAAATTTAATCAATGTAATTAATTCAAACTTTAACAGTTGTAGTGCAGCAAACAAGGGTGGCGCAATTTTATCACAATCTAACTTAATTATTCATTCAAGCTCTTTCATATTGAACTCTGCTAATGATGGTGGTGCCATTTATTCATCCCAAACTACAATCAGAAATGTTGCGTTTATAAATAATACCGCTATTTCCACTGGTGGTGCAGTTAGTTCTTTAGAATTGGACATACAAGGTTCAACAGTTAAAAACAATACTGCGGCTATGGGTGGTGCTCTATATATTCAAGGTATTCAATCTCAATATACAGATTTCTATTATAACAGTGCCAACGAAGGTGGAGCCATATACATCCATGATACAATTTCGAATAGTCTTTTAAATGGAAATAATATTCGTAGTAATTTTGCTACAAATGGGGGTGGAATTTATGTTGCGGCACCAACAGACAATGGAAAGCTAAATCTAACAGGAACACTAATTTATGAAAACCAAGCAGGGTCTTATGGTGGAGGTGTTTATTTTAACAAGTCATCAACACCTTTTATTTTTAATGGAAAAATATACAATAATACAGCATACGCACAAAGAAATTCAAAACAACAAGAGTTGGCATGTGATCGTTTTTCTCATGTAAATTGTAATTTATGTGGTATTACAAATTGTAATCTATGTCAAGAAAATCAAGGTATATGTATAAAAATTAAATCTAAAAGTAGCAGCAGCAGCAGTGGCAGTAGTAATAGCAAACATAATAGTTCCAGTAAAGATAGTAGTGAAAACATAAGTTCAAGTGGCGAAGATAGCAGTGATAATAACTCAAATAGTAATAATAATAATAATAATGATAAAATAAGTTATAAGCAAAATAATTATATTGATTATTTTGAAGATGACAATGAAGATTATTTATATTATAATAGTGGTGACTCAGAAAAATATCTTTGTCTTTTAACAAGTTTTGGATGTGATCATGGTAAATGCTCATTATTTTTCAATAGTACAAGTAAAAAAAGTAGTTTCGAATGTGAATGTCAACATGGATTTTGGGGATCAACATGCGAGGGTGACAGTTCAGCATCTTTATCTTCATCATCCGAGTCGGAATCATATTCAGAATCAGGATCATCGGTTAGCCCGCCAAATGACAGCAGTAATAGTAATGGTAATACAAATTCAAAAACAATGCTAGCTTTAGAAATCTCTTTACCAATTGTATTGGGTTTCTTAATAATAGTTTTTATTGTAACTTTATACTTTGTTTTAAGAAGAAGAGACGAAGTAATAGAAATTACAAATGAAGATATAAGACCATTAATAAACGAATCCATTAGTGATCGTAATAATTATTTATAAATAAAAGATTATAATAAACATTTTTTTAAAATAAATTTATAGAATACAAAAATTATAAAAAGATTTTATTTTTATTTTATATCGGCTAGCTTTTTGACAAAGTCGTGTATTTCTACTCTCGATTTATAGAGTAATAAAAAATGATTGATTTGTAAAAATTCTTTTTTATCAAAAATACTTTTAATTTGGTTAAAGGTATAACATGTATTAATATAATCGAAGAACTCTATATTTTCATTGCGTGCAGCTGAAGATAAAAAACAATTGAACCAATTTTGTAATGTTTTTAATAGTTTTGGATTTGATATTTTTGGATATAATAAGTTGTTTATTAATAAGTCGAGAAATTCCACTTTGTAGTTTGAAAAAGTCTTGAAAAATTTTGATCCCCATGAATATAAACCAGTTTGTGTTGGTTCGTTAATTTCCATAATTCCCTCAATGATTAGCTTGAATATTTCTGAATATTTACCTCTGGTATATAAGAAATTGAAAAAGCTATCTTCACCTATTTTAAACCTAATCTGTATTTCTTCATTGCTTGAAATATTGAAATTTGATATAAATTCCATAATATTATTTTCATCGTCGAAACCAAGGGATGATTTTCTTTTCTTAGAAATGATCTTTTCATTACCAACAGAATAGTTATCGATAATCCAATTTAAAAAATTATTTTTTAATCCTGGGTGGCTATATTGGAGTACATTTGAAAGATTGAATGGTTCATTGTTTTTAAATGATATTTCTTTAAATAATAAAAAAACCAAATGTTTCTTTTCATAATCCCCACTATTGAAATATTTAATAAGGTAGTTTGAATAGCTTGAAAGATCGAAATCTGGATCAAATTGATAAACTGAGGGGTTTTTAATTGCTCTTAATAGCTTTTCTAATATTGAGTCCATTTCCACTTCACCAATAACATCTTGAGTTGATATATCTACCTTGAGGTTTGGTTCTTTATTATGTTCAATATTTGTAACCAAAAACCTCTTATTTAAACTTTTCATTTGATTTTCATAATATTCTAAAGTTGAAAAGTCACTGTTAATAATTGGTACATATTTCCAAATTTGAGATTTTTCTTTAAACATATTGCTTTCTTTGTAATTGTTGAAATAAAAATCCAATATTGTTTTTGAAGTTATTGATAGCCCAACATAATCAGAATTGGTTGCTTGATTTAAAACTATTTTGAAACTTGAAAATTTTTCCTTCAATTGTACTAAATACTCAATTGTTCCTTGATCACCATTTTTTAAAAGATCGATAGTTGCACCAACTAATTTTGGATATAAATATTCGTCAGATGAAATAATATAGTTTAAATGTTTTTCTAAAAGCGAAATTTGATCTGGTTCACCACTACAGCTACTTTTCCAATACATATCTTCAGTATGTTGATATATGAACACTTTAAATAAACTAGTTGACTCTACTTTTAAAAACTCTTCAATATCAAATTGGTTTAATTTTAGTTTGCATGATTTTTCGATAACATCTCTCAACAGGTCCCTCTGTTCGGCTGGTGGTATACAAAAAGTAGATATTTCATAATAGCTGAAGAGTAAATTTTTTAAGCTTTTATCCGATGATGGGATGGTTGTTTTTGCTAAAAGCCCAAAAAAGTTTGAATTTAATTGTTCTTTTGAAAATTGTTTAATTTGAAAATCTAGATTATTTCTTGTAATTAAATTAATGTTGATAGGTTTTAATTTTATTCTAATATTTTGGTAATATAAACTGTTGTCTTGATTGTTTTCAAATAGGTGTCTATTTTTTATTATAAAATTTGATAATTTGATAATGCTCTTTAATTTTAGTTTTATAAAATTCTTAATTTTGTAATATAATCTAAAGCCAGTGCTAGAGAGATGGTAAACCTCTAACAAATATTTCAACATCTTGACACCTTGGTAGTCTGTAATATCTCTCTCTCTTTTTGGCGGAGATTCTTGGCCTAGCATCATACAGGGGTAGCTTCTTAAGATATATCCATCTGTATAAAATTTCTTTACTGATTCGTATACTTGATTATCATTTAAATTGAATACTTTAACAAATGATTTAAAAGCTACAATATTAGAATTGTCAATAATTTTATATAGTTCCGAAGAATTTGAAGAGTAAATTTGGTAATGTTCTGTAAATAATTGTTGGTAAAAAATAAAATTTTCTTGATTATCTTTTTTAATGTTTTTATAAATTTCAATAGAGGGTTGGTATTTTTTAATGTTATTTTTTATAATTTGTTCAGCAGTACTGTATCTTTGAAAAAGTTCAACAACTTTATAATTTTCATAACTATTTAAATTTTTTAATTCTTTAATTATTTTATAAAATAGAAATTTATTGTGAAACACTTTATAAAAAAGAGAATCCATTTTTTTTTATTTACTATTATAAACAATGTGTCTTTATATTTATTTAATGATTATTTTTATATTAAAAAAATTTTTAAAAATTAATTAAAAAAAAAGTGATTAAAAATTTTAAAAAATTAATTAAAAAAAAAAAATTAAAAAAAAAAATATAAAAATAATTTAGAAAAAAAAATATAAAAATAATTTGGAAAAAAAATAATCAAAGAATAAAAAGAATTTCCATTTTAATAAAAATTTATTTGGTTAGTGGTCCTTTAAATAAATAAAATATTTTGTTAAATCCAAAAAAAAAAGATTTTGGTAAAAAAGTGATTGAATTATCAATGATAAAATAATATCTTGAATTTTTATTACACCACAATGATATAAGTTTTGAAAATAATATAATTAAAAAAGAACTGTATAAATATAAATATAAATATAGATATTATATCATAAATATCTTTTTTTCTAAAAATATTAATAAAGAAATCAGTTTTTAATACAATTTTTAATTTCATCGTTTTCGTTTTTTTTTTTTTTTTTTAAAATTTTATTTTTTTTAAAATTTATTTTTTATTTTTTTTAACACTTTTTTTATTTTTTTTCTCATTTTTATTTTGGACACCAATCCTATTTATACAACAACAATAAATTGTAAAGAAAAAAAAAATAAGAGAAAAAAAAGAAATTATAACAATTTTTTCTTTAATTTCTTTGTTTTTATTTTCTTTATTAATAAATATCAAAATCATCACATAAATTTTTTTAAATTTAAATTAGATCTTAGCTTATAGTTTTTTATAAGATTCTAAATAAAGGCGAAAAAACTACCATAATTTTAGTAATAATTATAATAATAATAATAATAGCAATAATATATAAAACACATAAATAATTAAATAATAAAAAATGGGTATTAAATCAATTTGGGAATCAAACTTTTTTAAAGGTGGATTTAAATTAGTCGATAAAAGACTAGTTAAAAAAAGAATGACGGGTTTAGCACTTGGTCAATTATTATCAGTAATGATTGCAGGTACAGCTATTTTCAGTCAATTGTTGGTTGTGCATTATGGTGTTAACATTCCAACATCTCAAAGTCTTTTAAACTATCTTTTACTTTGTGTCTATTTAATTGTTTTAGCAAAAAGAGGCGTACTTTGGGAAACTATCAAAACAAAGAGTATATACTTTGCTCCGTTAGCTTTAGTCGATATGGAAGCAAACTATATCGTTGTTAAAGCCTACCAATATACAACTATAACAAGTGTTATGCTTTTAGATTGCTTCACCATTCCATGTGTAGTGGTATTATCAAGAATTTTCTTAAAGACTAGATTTACTTTTGTTCATATATCCGCTGTCGTTTTAGCTATTGCTGGTATGGTCATACTTGTAGTCTCTGATCTTCTTCAAGGTGAATCTGCTAATGGTGGTAGCAATCCTTTATTGGGCGACTTTTTAAGTTTAGCTTCCTCAGTCTGTTATGCCATATCTAATGTAGGTCAAGAAGCTACTGTAAAAAAGTTTGACCGTATTTCTTATCTCGCTATGATTGGGTTATATGGCTCCATTTTCTGTGGTATTCAAATGGCAATTTTAGAAAGAAATGAATTGGCAACCATGCATTGGAATGGTGAAATCGTTGGCTATATTGTTGGTTTTGCAGTTTGTCTTTTCATTATGTATTCGTTTGCACCAATGATGATGGAAATTGCCGGTGCCACCGTTATGAACCTTTCATTATTAACATCAGATATCTTTGGTATTATTGCTGCCATCTTTTTATTTGACAGAAGTTTATCTTGGTTATATTTCTTATCATTCTTTGTAATTTGCTCAGCTCTGGTAATATACAATCTTGCATCTCCTCATGCCAAAGATTCCGAAATTCAAAATCTTTTGAATAATAATCAAAGTACAAATAATACCACAACTTTACCAACAAGCGAATCTTCAAATACTCTATTAGAAACTCCAGGTAATGATGCTTTTGATCCAAATAATATTCTAAATAGCACAAACAGTAGCAGCAATAACAGTATAGATATTATTGGTGAAAAAGAATTCGAATCAGAACCATCACACACTTTAGATATTCAAGTTTCAGAAGAGTATGATATTAGTGACAATAAAAAATCATTTAAAGAAATCGATATCGAAAAATAAACATAAATAAAAATGAATTAATATAAATATTTTATAAAATTTATAAAATATTAACAATTTAATAATTGATATTTATCACCATTATAATAGTAGAAACACACTTTTTTTTTTATTTTTTTTTATTTATTTTTAAAAAGCTATTTTAATATGTGGAGGGCTTTATTATATTAAATCTAAACATTTATTTTTAAAATTATTAAGAATTTGATCAATATACGGTATTATATCTGAATATTCTTGTATATAGTCGTGATTGTCTTGAATGAAGCCTGTCAATGTAGTTTTTAAAAAAGTTTGTTTATATTGACTAAGAACCTTTGAGACATTGGAATATGGCGTATTTACACTGCTATTGCAACCACTTGATTTAGTTTTAGACTTCATAATGTCGCTAATTATTTTTCTACATTGTAAATCAAATTGGTGTATAATATTATTTTTGGTAATATTTCTTTCTTTTTCTTTTGATAGTAGAAAAACCATTTCATCTTGATCGCTGTGGTAGTTAATATTTTTAAACTCATTATATTTGAAAATTAAATTATTTACTATTTCATTACTATGTGAAAAGATTAAATTTTTAATTAATACAATATAATATTGATAATAAATAAAAACATACTGCTTACATTTCATTTAAATTTAAAACATCAATAAATATAGTATTATCCTGTTCCCACCTATATTTATCAACATTTGGAGGCTCTATAATTTCATTCATTTTTTTTATTATTTCATTATTTACATTATTATGATTTTGATTATTTATAGTTCTATTATTATTATTTTCGATTGATTTATATATATCTTTTTTAAAATAAATTTGACAATATTTAACATTTTGGAAACTATTTGAAAGTTGATAGTATTTATATCTCATACTTTTATAATACATATTATCATCCAATATTATTAAATTTATTATAGTTTTACTTTTATTTATATTATCTATACTATTGTTATTATTATTATCTATATTATTACTTAATTTATATGACTTAATTGGTAATATTTGATTTAATAAAATAAGTTTATTATTTTTATTATTTATAATATTTAATATTTGACTATAAACTTCTAATCTTGTAGGTTTCCAATTTTCTAAAGAGTTATTATTATCTATTTTTTTACATATTAATTTAAATATTTCATCATATTCTAAATGATATATATTAATTTGTTGGTCTATATTTGATGTTAAATTATTATTATCGATTAAATTTATTTTATTACTATATAGATATTCTATTAGAGTTTTGGAAAATGTGGTTTTACCACATGCTGGTAATCCAATTAAAATTAATAATAAATTAACTATTTGTTCATTATCATTTATATTCATTTTAAAAAAAAAAAAAAATAAAAAAAAAAAATAAATCAAAAAATAAATTGTTTTTTTTTATTTTTTTTATTTTTTTTTTTTAATTTTTTTTTAAATTTTTTTTTTTCTCATTTTATTTTTTTCACATTTGTATAATACATAATCAATAATCAAAATGCCAGGTTTTGAAATTAAAGACCCATATACAGGTATTCAAGTACCATATAAGTTACAAAAAGTAGCCTACTACAGAGAAAATTTTCAAGTTTTCTTTAAATGGACACCAAAGATTATTGGTACTTTAGCAATCGTTGTTGGTGTTATTCCATTAACTTGGACTTATTTAGTTAAACAACAACAAGTAATTATCCACATTATATACTAAAACCACGATTCATTAAGCCACAATTTAAACTTATTACTAACACCCCATTATTACCATAACAGGATCAAGAAGTTGTTGTTAATCGTAAACCAAGAAAACTTTAAATAAATATATATACAGCAAATTATAAATATAAAAACAAACAGGATAGAAGAGAAAAGATCTATCTTTTTCCGAAAAAAATAAATAAAATTACAAAAAAACAAGTTTTAAAAAATTACACAGATTATATCATTTTATAAATATATTTTTTTATTTATTTATTTAATTATTTATTTAACAGTTTAACTTCAAATATTATATCTAAATCCCTTAAAGAAAGTTGAATTAAATCTGGATTACTTATTTGACCAGGATTTTCTTGAATAAATTGTACAATAAAATTTGAAAATTCTTTGAAATCGCTGTGGATTTGATCCCACTGAATTGGCTTTGGTAAAGGGCTTTCAGTATTATCTTCTAATTCTATTGCGGTGACGATTGCAGATTGATATAATTGAGTGCATAATAAAACAAATAATTCATGATTACCGACTGGTTCTTGTAAATCTAAATCCATTGAATATATAGATTTGGTTGATTCTACTGATAAGTTTAAATCACTCTCTGTGGACCCACCTGATAACTTGTTCTTTCTCATATTCTTTTTAGATAGCTTCGTGAGCCATGGTGCCAAGTCTTCGATTAATGGGTTATTATTTTTTTTATTTCTTATGTGTGATGGGTAAATATCTTCTATAAACTCTGTGACCAATGCATTTTTTATTTTTCCTGCTGGTAGTAGTTGACAAAATAATAACTTTCTATTATAATTCGATATTTCTTTAAATCCTGAACAAATAATTGGTAAAGTATTTATGGTCGCAAATTTACTATTTTTATAAATCTAAAATAAAATTAATTAGAGAAAAAGATTAATATAAAATATAATATAAAAATAGAAGCTTATATATTTACATTTAATAAAAATTCTAATAATTCTTTAAAAGTTTCTAAATCGCAAACCTGCATTAAACTCATAACTTCTTTGATTAATGCAGATTTAAGATTAAAATTTGGGTCAACATTTTGGAGAATGGTGGAATAGGATGAAACAAAATATGACAATAATAATTTTGAACTTAAAAATTTAAATAATGTTTCTTTTGGATAACCTACGTCTTTATCACCTAAATGATACCTTAATGATACTATTGTTTTTATAAATAATTCGTCTGTTAACCCAAAATAATATTGATTATCTTTGAATACGTTTAAAACTTCCATGATTTGAAATGTTACTGCTTCGTCCCCACCTCTTTTTGATTTTAATGTTTCTAATAAAGTTGTTAAAATAGTTCTATTAAGTAGTATATTTTATTAATATTTATTTTTAATAAGTGAATCTGAATAATGAATATTTACTCTGGAGGATAATATCCTTTATTTGATAAATATGTTAACATTTGTTGGGCATGTACAAGTTGAAAATCTAAAAAATAAATATTCTGATTGTTAGATTAATGAAAAAATAATAAAAAAAAGATTTATTTTAATTACCTTCGTCATCATTTAAAAGGGATGAAATTGTATTGGTTAAACCAACCGAAAATTCACCTCTTATCATTTCTCCTTTTGTCATAGTATAATAAACGAATAATAAATAATTATTTTTAATAATATATTGAATTTTAAAAAAAAAATATTTTTTGAATTTTTATAAAAAATTTATGGAGGTATTTTTTAACTTTTTTTTTTTTATTTTTTTTTATTTTTAATTTTTTTAAAATATTTATATATTTGTTATTTTTATCTAGAATTTAAATAAAAAGAGTAGAGGGGATTTTCTAAAAGGAGAGGCTTTATATTAGTACCAACCCCCCCCCCACTTTTATTTTGATAGTATTATCCCTTTTTTTTTTTTTTTTTTTTTTTTTTTATTAAATATTATCTTAATATAATAAACCAAAAAGAAAAAACTAATAATTTTTTTTTTTTTTTTTTTTTTTTATACAATTATTTTAAAAAAAAACAACAATACATTGGTTTAAAATATTAAAATGGAAAGATCATTTTTTAGGGTATCATCATATTTATTAATAATATCATTAATCAATAAATATCCAATATTAATAACAATTTTATAAACAATATATAGGGTACATCTGCAGAACAAGATGATAGGTTTCAAGATAAAAACAAAAAACTTTTAAAGACTATGAAGTTTCCTTCGATTTATAAAAACAAAGTAGATCTTTCAAAAGTGCATTTACCATCTTTAAAAAAATGGATAACCAAAGAAGTTGAAGAAAATTTAGGTTATGACGAAATAACATCAGATTATATTTATAATTTATTAGCTGTAATTATCATAAAACTATTGATCCAGTAAAATCAAATAAGTTATTAATTTAATTTTTTTATTTAGGAATCAAATACACCAAACCCAAAAGAAATTCAAATTAGTATAACAGGATTTTTAGAACAAGAAACCCCACCATTTATGGAAAAACTTTGGAAACTTTTATTATCAGCCCAAAATGCAATCGGTGGTATACCTGAAGAACTTTTAAAAGATGCTCAAATAGCATCACTTAAATCCAAAGAAGAGGAAGAAAGGGTTAAACAAGCAATTGATAGAACCAAAAATAAAATTCAACAATCCAATAATTTTAATAATAAGAACAATGGCCACCAATCATATGGTTTACAACAACAACAACAACAACAACAACAAAGAAAACAAATCTTTACAAATGAACCACCATCCAATGATCCATCACCAGATGAGCAACCTATTGAAAATGTTGATCCAAGTTTAGATTTAAAGAGCTCCAGAAAAAATAGAGTTGACTACAAAGAAAAAGATAAAGAACTAGAAGAAAAAGACAGAGACAGAGATAGGGATCGTGATAGAGATAGAGAAAGAGATAGAGACTATAGAAGCCGTGATAGAGACTATAGGGATAGGGATAGGGATAGGGATAGAGACTATAGAGATAGGGATAGAGATAGAGATAGGAATAGAGACAGGGATAGAGATAGAGATTATTATAGTAGAAGCCGTGATCATGATAGAAATAGGGATAGGGATTATAGCAGCAGAGGTCGTGATAGAGATTACTACAGTAGTTCAAATAGCAGAAGAGATAGAGACTATAGGGATCGTGATAGAGATTATTATAGTAGCAGCTCAAGCAGAAGAGAAAGGGACAGGGACTATAGAAGTAGTAGAGACCACAGAGACCGTAGTAAAAGTAGAGATAGCAGAAGCAAAGAACGTAGTAGAAGTAGAAGCAAAGAGCGTGTATCCAGCAAAGATAGAACTAGTAGTGCAAGTCCAGAAAGAACTACAGTTAAAAGTAATTTTAGCGAATATGATCAACCATACAAACCAGCCAATGATAGTGATTCAAACTCTAAAAGGAAAAGCATATCCCCAGAAAGAAAAGATAGAGATAATTTAACAAAAAAGAAAAGATATTATAGTGATGAAGAAGAAAACTAAACAACTGATAACTATAATAATAATAATATAAACAATAATAATAATAAAGATAAAAATAAAATTTATTAATTTATAAAATATAAATAAAATTATTTTTAATAAAAATAAAATTTACAAATTTATAAAAAATAAAAATCTATATGAAAATTTTTATCCTAATTTTTTTTTTTTTTTAGATTTTAAACATTTATTTTATTAATATGCTTTTAATTTTTATTTACTATGAATACATAATTATTGTTTTATTTATTTATTAATTTTTTTTTTTTATAAAATTATTTTTATCTAAAAAAACAATTTTATAATCTTGCGTGAACTCTTTTAATGGTACCTTCAATTAAACCTGATGGTTCTTCGACTGGTTGGAAAACAACATTCTTATTTTCAATATTTAATCTTGAGAAGTCGAAACCAAAAGCATGTTTATTTGGTAATGATAAATGAACTTGTTCTATAAAAAAAAAAAAATTAGAATGAATGAATAATGGATTAAGAAACTTTAGATAATATTATAATATTTACCGATGGCTGAGCATTTACCGATGGCATCTTTAGCAATTAAAAATAAGGTTTCTTGAACTGATTTTGAATAGGTATTGGCAAAGATATCAAATACAGATTGTTTGAGAGTTTCATAAGCTTTGGTGTAGTCGACATCTAAAGTATTATAGGTCCAGTTTGAAGTAACAACAGTGGCAAAAACTCTGTCTTTAGTTTCTTTGAGGGAGGTGTATTTGTCACGATGGAAACCTTCAAAACCGGACTGGGTAGTTTTCATGATAAGGACATCATCAATACCGGAAACGACAACTGGGGATTTACCTCTGGTTGAAGTGACGACAGCGGTATGAACTTCTCTATCACGAGTGAATGAATGGCCGTGTGGTTTACCATTTGATGTAACGATACGGTGCCACATATTTTCCTTCATGCTAACCTCGACACCACTGACCCATGAATATGTATTGATAAAATGACGACCTAAAATGATACCAAATTCTTCTAAGCTCTTGAATTCTTCTTTTTGGGCAATAACATAAACAGTGTTCTTCATAGTATCGGTAGCAACAACTTTACTATTATCTCCGGTTAAATAAGTTTCTTGGAATTCGTCACCTCTTAATAAAACACGACAATCGAAATCGAAAATTTTGTGATGGTCATTTGGTCCCTTGAAAACTCTTAAAACACGAACTCTTGCTTTACCATATCTGTTGTCAATTAAAGTGGCCATTTTATTATCTTTAGAATTTATTAATTATTTATTTTTGGAAAAAAAAAAAAAAAATGAAAAATTTTGTTTATAAGAAAAAACTATATATTATTAATATTATTTTTAATATGATGTTGTTAACTTGTGATTTAATGAAAAAAAACAATATAATGGAAAAAAAAAAAAAATAGTGGTTTATAAATTTCAATTTTTAAATAAAAAAATAAAAAAAAAAAAATAAATTAAAAAAAAAAGATTTTTTTGGGGTTTTTAATATCTGATTATATGATAATCATATTACTGAAATTTATTAATACAGGGTTTAAAATGATTTGGAACAAATTCCGTTGAGTTTTTCTCCATTTAATTTAATTTTTTTTTTTTTTCTTAATTTTAATATTTAAATAAGAAAAAAAAAGTGGTATTTGAATTTTCAATTTAGATTATTATATGAATAAAGAATTATTATATTTCAAATTTTTCCAACTTTTCGAATTATTTTTAACTATTTGAAAAAAATAAATTATGCAATTATTATAATTGGTAATAAAATTTTTTTCTTTTTTTTTTAATTTTTTTTTTTTAATATTTTCATTTTGGTTGTTGCTATTATTACCATTCCTTGATTCTGATTATTATAATAATGAAAAAAAAGGAGGATATTTATGAAAAAAAAAAAAAATTGAAAAAAAATTAAAAAAAAAAAAAAATAGGAAAAAGATATACAAATAATGATGAAATTTATTTATTTTGGGAACTGAACAAATAAATGATAAACAATTTTTCTATGATTAGATAAAATCCTTTGTTTTTTTATTTTTTTATTTTTTTATTTTTATTTTTATTTTTTTTTTGTGTGTGTTTTTATTGTTTTTTTTATTGTTTTTTTATTTTAATAAAATCAAAAAAAAAATTATAAAAAAAAAAAAATTAAAAAAAAATTTTTAAAAAAAAAACTTTTTTTTTTATTTTTTTTTTTTTTATTTTTTTTTTTTATATATATAATCTTTTGTAATATTAGTAGTTTATATTTTTGTGTTATATTTATAACTTTTTATACATTAACCAAAAACAACGCAGAAATATAACAAAAACCAATTTAAATATTCATCTTAAAAAAAAAAAGATTAGTATGTAGTACAAAAAAAAAAAACTTTATCATGTTAAATTTTTATCACACAACAAATTTTTATATACAAAATTTTAACTTTGTTTAATTTGACAAAGAGGTAAAAAATAATAGTTAAAAACAATAATAAAAATAATAATTAATAAAAATAATAACCCATTTTATTATAATAGTTTCTTTTAATATGGAGATAATGAAAAATTATTACTCTTTTTTTTTTTTTATTTTTTTATTTTTTTTTTTTTCATATCACCACACAAAAAAGACACACTTTTAACACATAAATTACATCAAAACTATACTTAAAATATACTATAATCATATAACTAAAAATATAATAACAATTAAAATAATATATATATTTGTGACCAACATCATTAATGGTGATTTATACATTATTAATTTTAAACACAACAAAACCCTAGTGTTAACTGTGTTTAATAACCCCATACTAGACATAAAAAAAAAAAAAAAAAAAAAAAGCACACACACAAAGTTGTGAGCGATAAAATAATTTAAATAATTAGTTATTTAAATTAGACCATAATATTGTGTGTTTGTGTGTTTTCTTTATTTATTTTCAGTTGGTTAATTTTTTATTTTATTTTATTTTTATTTTATTATTTAATTTATTTAAACTCTTCTATTGTGTAAAATATTTTTTATATATATAAAATATATATAACTTTATGTAATAATATATCTTTAGAGTTTTTTTACTCTTAATTAAAATAATTTATATTTTTTAAATTGTATTTGTTTTTATTTTACAGCATTTTTTTATAACATCAAATAATTTGTTTTCTTTATTATTGTTTTTTTCTTTTTTAATTAATTAATATATTTATTTATTTATTTATTTAAAATTAATTTACAATCAAAAATTAATACTTACTATTTTTTAAATTCAAAATAAATCAAAATTTTTAAAAAAATTCTCATTCAAAATCATCAATCCATTATAAAAATAGATCAGAAAGAAGATTATCAATATTGTTATTATAATAAAAAGTTAATTAGAAAATAGAAAAGATGGCAAGCAAAAAAGGAGATCCAGAAGAATTATATATTAAACAAGAAAAAATTGGTAAAGGTTCATTTGGTGAAGTTTTTAAAGGGTAATTACATTTAGCTTTTTTTTTTTAAAGATTATCACAGAATGGAAAATTAATATATTTTATATTTATTATTTTAAAGTATCAATAAAAAGACAAATGAAACAATTGCAATTAAAATAATTGATCTCGAAGATGCAGAGGATGAAATTGAAGATATTCAACAAGAAATTAATGTACTCTCACAATGTGAAAGTGCTTTTGTTACAAAATATTATGGTTCATTCTTAAAAGGTTCAAAATTATGGATTATTATGGAATTTCTTGCTGGTGGTTCAGTTTTAGATTTAGTATGTTTTTTTAAAAAAAATAGAAATTATTAGAATACACAGTTCAATTAATTTATAGGTATTAACCATATTTATTTTATTAATTATAGATGAAACCAGCCCCATTCGATGAAAGTTATATTGCAATTATTTTAAGAGAATTATTAAAAGGTTTAGAATATTTACATTCAGAGGGTAAAATTCACAGAGATATTAAAGCAGCAAATATTTTATTATCAGCAAATGGTGATGTTAAATTAGCAGATTTTGGTGTTAGTGGTCAATTAACTGATCAAATGACTAAAAGAAATACTTTTGTTGGTACACCATTTTGGATGGCTCCAGTAAGTGTTCACCATTTATATTTAAAACAGATTTTTAATATTTCCCTAACTTTTTTATTTTTTTTATTTTTTTTTATAGGAAGTTATTAAACAAACTGGTTATGATTCAAAAGCAGATATATGGTCAATGGGTATTACAGCTTTAGAAATGGCTAAAGGTGAACCACCAAGAGCTGATTTACATCCAATGAGAGCATTATTTTTAATTCCAAAAGATCCACCACCAACTCTTGAAGGCAATTTTTCAAAGACATTTAAAGAATTTTGTGCTCTCTGTTTAAATAAAGATCCAAATCAAAGACCAACTGCCAAAGAACTCTTAAAACATAAATTCATCAAATCCGCCAAAAAGACAAGTGGTTTAACTGATCTCATCGACAGAAGAGAAAAATGGTTACAATTAAATGGTAATAATTTAGATGAGGATAACGAAGATGGAGATAGAGAAAATAGAGGTGGCGACGAAGATGATGGTTGGGATTTCCCAACTATCAAACAAAAATCACCAGCTGCCCCAGTTAAACCAGCAACTGTACCAGCTGCTGCTTCAAATCCAGTTAAAGCTGCTGAACCACAACCATCAACACCTGTAAAAGAATCTGTAACAACAACTCAACAAACAACTGTATCTGTAACATCAACACCTGTAGAAACTAAACAAAGAACAACTTCAAATGGTTCATCAACTCCAGTTAAACAACCATCAGCAGCTGCTCCATCTACTACTACCGCTGTCCCATCATCAAATAACGCTGTGGCCAATAACGCTGCTGGTCAAGCCCCAAGAGCTTCCGCACTTACTTCTGTTATCTATCCTGTATTATCAAAATTACTTAAAAATACATCTGATGAAAATGTTATCAATGCTTTAGCTCAACTTAAAATGGCATTTGATAATGCCGAAAAAGCAAAACCTGGTATTACTCATAGTTTAATCGCCCAAATTATTGAAACTCTTAAAAGATAATTTTATATAATAATAATTATAATAATAAATAAATAAATAAATACATAAATATTAAAATAAACAAATAATTTAAAAAAAAAGGTAATAAATAATTTTTATTAATAATAATACTAATAATAAAAATATAAAACTTTTAATATATTTTCATAAAACAGTATAGTTTTATTTTTTTAATTGTTCATTTAAGAAATTTTCGTAATCTTCATCTTCGTCGATATTATCAAAATCTTCTTTTATGTTTTTTGTGTCATTAAATTCTTTATTCTTTCCATGTAACACAACATTGCCATATTGATCGATAATATCTAAATGTTCTTTTTTCATTTGTTTTGATGATTCATTCTTTTCTTTTTTATGTAAAAGTTCTTCTAATTGTTCTTGATAGTTGTCTAAATCTCTAATATCTTTTTGTTTAATATCTTTATCAATTTCTTCTTCTATTTGTAAATCCTCTAAATCAATTTCTTCTTGGGTTAATCTTGGTTTCTTTTCTTTTGGTGGTTTGGCATTTTCTTTAGAAATAATATCATTTTCATCTCTTTCTTCTTCCTCTTCTTGTTTGTCTTGTTCTTTTAATTGTTCTTCTAATTGTTGTTGTTGTTTTAATAATTCAATTTTTTCTTTTCTTTCATTAATTTTTTGTAATCTAAATTCTTGTCTCTTTTTAGTTCTTTCAATTCTGTCTTTTAATTCTGTTGCTTTTTCCTCTAATTTCTTTTCTTTTCTTAGTGATTTACCTTCATTTAAAAATTCAAATATATCAATTTCTTTCTTGTTTGGGAAGTCACAGTAACGGTTTGTTAAATCTACAAACTGATCTACACTAATATTTTGAGGTCTTGTTTTTGGATCTATAATACCTTCTAATAAAGCATCAGCACCATTACCTAAATTTTTTATAACATTCGATACAGTCTTTCTTCTATGCGCAAATAATTCTCTGCATACAAACTCAAAGTATTGATGATTCTTTAGGGGTTCTTTACCAAGTGGATTAATTCTTGGTTCAATTTCAACAACGGCAGCATCAACTTTGGGTGGTGGAACAAATGCTTTACCTGGTAATTGATATGTAATTCTTGGTATAGCTGATTGTTGAACCATTACCGATAAACGAGAGTAATCGGCTGTTCCACTCTTGCACAAATTCTATCGGCTAATTCTTTTTGAAACATTAAATACATTGGCACACGACCAAAACTATATAGACCTTCACGAGGTGAAATTTGACGTATCCATTTTAGCATTAAATGTGTACCAACATTAAATGGTAAGTTACCAATGATTTTAACTTTAGATTTCTCTTCCCATGGTGCGAACTCTGCTCCATTTTCAAATAAAATTTTTGCTTCGTCTACTTCTAACATATTTGCCATAATTAATTTCATTCTTCCTTCGCTTGCATCTTCTAACATTTTTAATGCTGGATAAAAACGTGGATCCATTTCCACTGCGATGACTTTTTTAGCTTCGCTTGTTAATAATGACCTTGTTAAACCACCTGGACCTGCACCTACCTCTATAACTGTACAATCTTTAAACCCACCCGATGTTTTACAAATTTTATCTGTTATATTTTTATCTATTAAAAAATTTTGTGATAATTGTTGTTTTGCACTTAACCCAAAAGTTCTAATAATCTCTTGTAGGGTTGGCATTGGCGGTAATTTATTTGACATTTTATTATTATGGTTATATATAAATATACGATTATGCTAATTATTAATAAAACAAAAAAAAAAAAAATGAAAAAAAAATGTAAAATAAAAATAAAAAAAAAAAAAAATTAAAAAAAAAAAAAAAAAAAATTATTTAAAGCATTTTTTTTTATATTTATATAATTTTACAATTAAACTAATAAAACAAATAAAATAATAATTTTAAGAAATTGTGTACCTAGCAAAATATCTTTCAAAGAAATCTTTAATTAATTTTTTTTTTTTTAAATTTAAAATTATTTTTTTTTAAAATTATTTTTTAAATAATTTTTTTTTTAAATTTTATTTTATTTAAATATAATGTTGTAATAATATGGAATCTTTATTTATAGATAACAATAAAAATAGTAGTACTATAAGTACTAACAATAATAATAGCACTATAAATAATAACAATAGAAATAATAATAATATTGATATTAATATTATAGATAGTACTGTTAATAATAATCAGATATCGCCAAAACTAGAAATATTATTTTATAAATGTTGGCACAATATAATTATTAGGAATAATATATTTAGTGAACAAACAAAATTAAAAAAAATTTATTTATTTAGTAGCTCAAAGAGGTTTTCATTCAATGCAAATACCCTATTAACATTCAAATATAGAGAATATTTAAAAACAATTCATTTAGCATCATCTAGCTATGAATATGACCCATTCGATTTAGATTTGGTAGAATATAAAAGTGGTAAAATTAGAGCTCCATTTATTAGATGTAATGATATAATACCACCAAACTACATACCAGAATCGGTAGACAAAGTAATTGTAGATTCAAATATAATAGAACCAAGATCACTTCCAGAAACCATTACCTCACTTATATTCAATTGCAAATGTAATATTAATGAAATGTATTTAATTCCCCAATCAGTAAAGACCTTGGAAATTAATTTCAAGATTACAGAGCCACTTAAAGATTTCACTCTACCAGAAGGATTAGAGACTTTAAAATTGGTATGGTTTAACCAACCATTACAGCCAAAGCAAATACCTGATAGTTTAAAGGAGCTTAGTTTGGGCGTAACATTCGATCAAATACTCAAACCAGGTACATTTGGTGACAACTCTCAATTAGAGTCACTAGAGTTTGGATATGATTTTAATAAGCCAATCTTGTTAAATGTTCTACCGAAAAATCTAAAGGTTCTCAAACTAGGTCAAAGTTTTAAGCAGATTATTAAACCAGGTGTTCTTCCGGATAGCCTTCGTTCTATAGTCTTCCGAAATCCAGACTATAACATCTATAATTTACCCAAGGCTTCCATACCATCCACTGTAGTTTTAATTCACCATGGCGGCGAAATGAAATCAAACCAATTATAATGTACAATAAATAGAAAAAAAACCAAGGAGTTTATATTAAGTTATTTAATTATATTTTTAAATAATATATTTAAATTAATGTTTTATTTAGACTATATGTTTTTTTTTTTTTATAATCATTTGATTATTTTATTAGTGTTATTATTTATAGTATTGTTTATTTTTTTTATTTTTTGTTTTTTAAGCTTAATTTGATGAATTAAAGTTTATATATTATTTATTATATTATTATTATTTTTTTGAAGCGCTTACAGTAAATATATTCATAGTAAAAACGAAACTTCCTTCTTCATCTTGTTTTTCTATAGTTTCTCTCCACAAGTTATATTCTTCTTCGGTAATTAGTTTTTGAGCACATGCCATTCTCCCTCTTTCTCCTAACCACACAAATTCATCAGCAACTGCCAAAGAATCAGTATATAAACATTGGGCAAATACTTCTATATTTTCTAAATTTTGATTTCTAGCCATTTTACCTCTAAGATGAAGACCTATACTTGGATGCTGGTTAAAAATAACTTCATTCACTATTTTTTTATTAATTTCTTCTATAGATTTAGGTATTGATACAGTGCTGCTTAACCAATCTACATCTGTAATTACAACCCTTCCACCACTCTTTATAACTCTAGTCATTTCATTTATTATATGATCAGGATTATAAACATGTTGTAAAAGTCTTTCGCATCTAATTCTAAATTAAAAAATTAATTAGTGACTATTACAATGTAATTTTAATTGCAATATCGATTTAATACTTACGCATCAAAGTAATTACTTTCAATTGGGATACATGCGGCATCACCTAAAAATACTTGTACATTTGGTAGATGTTGCATTCTACTTCTAGCACATTCAACCATTTCTCTTGAGATATCCATTCCTATTACTTGACCATGTGATTCAACATATGATTCTAATCTTCCTAAATCTTTACCAGCACCGCATCCACAGTCCATTACTTTTTGACCTGGTTTTAGTTCTAATTGTCTTGTTGAGTATCTTGTATGTGCGATTATCTAAATTATTAAAAATGAAATAATTAATATCTTTTTTTTTTTTTAATATTTTGTTTTTAACTTACTTGATCATGTTTAGATGTTTCGTCGACATATTGTATAAATTTATTAGCACTTTCTGATTGATCTATTTTTTCCCAAGCCGAGTTTGAGGTTTTTGAACCACATTCGTTACTATTTATATTATTTATATTGCTATTGTTATTATTGTTGTTATATATATGTTCAGTTGAAACTTCCATTTTAATAACTATGTCTAATTAATATTTCAAAAATACTATTCCAAATTATTATTATAATTCTATTTATACAACTTTTTTTGTTTATTATTAAAAAGTGAAAAATCTAAAATATTGGTAAATTTTTTATTTTTTTTTTTATTTATATATAAAAAAAAGTTAGTATAATATCGATATAATTAATAAATAAATAAAAAAGATATTAAATAAATTTATGATTTTTGATTTATATTTATTTGGAGATTGATAAAATAACCACAAATTTTTATTTTTATATGTCATGATTATATCATATCGTTTTATTATTTATCATGATTAAAATAAAATTTATATTTTACCAAAATTTAAAATGTGGGTTTAAAATTTGTATTTTTACACACAATGATTCTAAAAAAAATGCGTGGATTTTTTAATTATTGTGGAAAAAACTAAAAAAAAAATCTTTTTTTTATATGATAAAAAAGAAATAAAAACAAATTTAGATTATTGAGAATTTGTTTTTACAATTATTATATTTAATTATAAATTAATACTGTTTTTATTCGAAAAAAGATATGGTTATTATATTAAAGGTTTTTTAATAAATACTTTATTAAAATTAGGTAGATTTTGTTTTTTTTTATTGGGAATACAAAAAATATATTTATTGTATTTAATAATATATCTATATAAATAAAACACTAGTTTTTAAGAATATAAACACAAAAATATACTAATACAAAATCTTTAAAAAAATATATTCTAAATTTTATTATGTGTAATGATATAACTATAAAAAAAAAAAAAAGAGAAAAAAACTTTATAAAACAATTACTTTTAGCAATGATAGTTTTAATACTTTATAATTTTTAAATTTTAGTATATATTATAAATAAAAAAATCTTATTGATTTGATTTAATAATGATTAAAAAACAATTGTTTTAAATTATTATTATTATTATTATTATTGTTTTTATTATTTTATTATTTTGATTACCACATTATAAAAATAATCAAATAAAATTTTAACAACAATTGAATAAAAACAATAGTATAAATTATTAATACAATATAAAATAAAGTTTATTTAATTTTATTTTATTTTATTTTATTTATTTTATTTTATTTTATTTTATTTTATTTTATTTTATTTTATTTTATTTTTATTTATTATAAATTTATATAATGGCAATAAATTAAAAAATAATAGTGATAAAAAACAATAAAAATTTTATTTTATAAAATCAATATTAAATATTACTATTTAAAATTTACTAATTATTTAAACGAATAGGAATCAAGATTATTAAATTTTAAAATTATATTATAACAGAGAGGGATGGTTTTTTTTATTTTTTTTTATAAAATAAAATTGTTTAAATTGTGTGTGTTTTACTGAAGGTTTAAATATATATGCATGGATGTGTGTGGGGAGTATAGTTGCATTAGAGAATTGGTATAAAATTGTGAGAGTAAAAATATTTATATTTATAAAAATATTTTGAGGATATGGTGTGTGTATTAAATATAAAAAAATTTTGAAAGGGGTGGGGGAATTATAAATTATATAAATATGTTAAAAAAAAAAACTGAAATTAAATATAGATTAAGCGAGAGAAAGAAAAGTAAATAATTATATAAAACTGGGTGTATATGAAAGATATAGGTGATTCTATCTAATTACCATACAATATATAGTGAAAAAATGGGGATATGGCACAGTTACACCACAAGTAAAATTATTGAAAAAAAAAAAACACGCCAACAATAGATAATATAATCAATATCACAATCGAGATATTTGGGTGTTTTTAATGATGAAAATGTCATGATGATTTTTTTATTAATAGTAAAAATTATATAAAATATTATTACTTTAGTTTGAATTGTTTAATACTATTGTTTATTATGATTATTATATTTATTATTTTAATTGTAAAAATATTTATTTAAAAAAACAAAGAGAAATACCCTAAATAGTATAAACTATAATTGTTTTTTGAAAGTGTATAAAAAATATGAAAAGGTATATATAAAAATGATATATCGTTTTTTTAATTTTTACTTTTATATTAATTTTTTTTTTTTTTTTGTTTATTGTGCCAGAATGGATGTTTATTTTTTTCTTATTTTTATAATTAAAATAAAAAGAAATAGATTTAAAGTATATTTAATGTAAGACTGAGTGTTTTGATGTGGGGATAATTTTATATTAAATGCTTTTTCTTTTATTCAACTATTTTAAAAATATTTATAATATGGTGTGTGAGTAGTGGTTATAGTTTTGTTGTTTTTGTTATTGTAGTTGTTGTGGTGTGTGGTGTGTCGTGGTGTGTGTGATAATTTAATAAAATTGTTAAAGTAGTTTTATTTTGGATTTTTATAACAAATAAATCATTTTAAAACATAGTTTTTTATTGCAATTGTTATTTTCTTTTTAGAGTGAAAATAAAAACTATCCTTACCTTTTTTATAATAATTTTTAATATGATATATTTCTTTTTTTTAATACAAAATTATTTTTTTCTTTTTATCCAAATTGGTAATTGTATTCTCTATTAATAGTTTTTTAAAAAGTTTTAATGATTATAATTTCCCAGTTTTCCAATATGGTTAGTTTATTTTATGATTTATTATGATTGATTGTTGATTCTTTATTATTTTTACAATAGTGTGATTTTTTTTTTTATTGTAATTATACAACAATAAAAAAAAAAATAAAAAGAAAAATAAAATATAGATAATTGTATTATTAACACAACACTATTAGAGTTTATTCCAATCAAAACTAAAAATAAAATAAAAAATGATTAAATAAAAAAATGAAAAATAAAAAAAAAAAAAAAAAAGAAATTAAATAAAAATAATATTATAATTATTATTATTATTTTATTATTAATACAATAACAATATTTTAAAATCAAATTGAAAAAGTTAAATATTATTTTATATTTATTAAATAATCAAATTTTTTATTGGTTTTTTTTAAAAAATTTAAAAATAATCTATTTACACCAAAAGATCAAAAATGTGGTTATTACACATTTAGATTTAAATGATGAAACTATTTTTTAGAATAATAAATATGAACAAAAGAAACTTAAATTTTTGAAAATTTCTATAATTCATTTATTTTGTTTATAAAGAAAAAAAAAATTTTATTATTGTTTTTTTTTTTATTAATATAAAACTCTATAAATTTTAAAAAACATTTTATATAATAATAATTTATCATTATATAAAATATATTTTTTTAAAAAAAATTATACCAACTGTCTCTCCCCTATATTGTTGTATAATATATTTTTTTTAAAATGATCTACAAATAATAAAACAATTCTGAATTTTTTAACTAATTTTAATCATCAATATTTTTTTATTAGCGCCAGGGGTATTATTATAATCTTTTTCTTAATATTAATATTATAGCATAAAACATTAATAATTTTATGGTATATTTTAATAATCATTTAAATTTATTAAAAAGTATAATTTAATAAAAAAAAAATAAAAAAAATATTAAGATAAAAAAACAAACTAAATGAAATTTCTTTAAAAAAAAACTATACATTTTATTTAAATGAATAATTAAATTAAAAAAAAAGAAAAAAAATAAAAAAAATAAAAAAGAAAAAAATATTAATATGGTTATTGTTGTGGTAAATGTTGTTGTAATTGTACTGTTTGTTGACTTTGGTGTTGTTGTTTAGAAAGAATTGGTGATTGAAGTTGAAGTTGTGGTGGGGTTTGGGTTAAATGTTGTTGAGATGGTTGCTGAGGTGTTTGAGATTGAATGATTGGGACTTTTAATGAAAGTACTCCATTAATATACATTTTTTCATATTTTAAAACATTACTATCATTAGGAAGATATGCTTCAATTTCGAAATTACCATATTTTTTTTTACCATTAGTTGCAAGTATTTTCACAGTTTCATCTGAGAATCTGGTACTCTATAATTTAAAAATTAGAATTTGGTATTACGAAATAATAAATTTAAAAGTTATATACTTACACCTATTATAATTTTATTGTTTGTTTCATCAGTTTTAATTGTAATGTTGTTTTCGATACCAGGTAAATCTAATTTTACCCAATAAAAATCATTACTTTGAGCTATTTCTCCATTTACCCATTCATAATTCGTCGATACAAAATATGCATTGGTTTCGTTTTTAACTTTATTTTTCTAAAATTATAAAAAAAAAAAATTTTAGGTATTCGAAAATTACAATATAAAAATATAAAACCTATATACCTTATGTTTCTTTGAGCCTGATTTAAATGGTGATGATAATGCATGTTTAAGAACGGGTGAATCGCCTCCACTTATATTATTTACTGTAAGTATACCACTATTATTATTGTTATTATTATTGCTATTGTTATTGGATGACGGTTGAGGTATTAGAGCAGAGGGTGTGGAACATGTTAATAATGGTGTAGTGTTAGGACTGGTAAGGTTGCTATTTGATTTCTTTTTTGTTTGTGATATTATATTATCCATTATTTTAATCCTATTTTCTTTGAAAATTGCAATCAATGTTTCTAATTCAGGCTCTGTCCAAAAAATTGATTTATTTATACAATATTCTGATAATAACTTTACATTTTCCGAATCAGTGTTTGGATCCTAAAGATAGGAAAAAAAATTAATATTTTTATTTTATAATTAAAAAAATATATATACATACAGGATTTACTAATTGAACATTTATATATGCTGGCTGGGTTCCTTCTTTTGTTGAATTTGGTTTTCTTTTTTTACCAGACTCAGTTGAGTCATCTTCATTCCCAGATGAAGAGGAATTACCACCATTTTTTTTTTCTAATTCTTTCATATCCTCTTCTATCCACTGGTTTATTTTACGACCCAAATGGTTATCTCTAAGATGGAATTTAGGTAATATCTTTGTGTAGTATAAAGACCACCATTTATCTTTAACCTCTTTATTCCCAGGTTTAATAACAAACCAAGATTTGTATGCCACTCTTGCAACCTCTTCTTTTTCTTTTAACCCAATTTTATCATCCAAACTACTACTTCCACCACTTGCACTATTATGTAAAATAATTGAATTTGAAGAGGATGAAGAGGATGAGGATGATCCAGATTGCTTTGATGATAAAACTAATGGGGATTGGCTTGATGTACCACCTGTACTACTATTTAAATTATTACTGCCATTACTTTTATTTAAACTTGATGGCGAAGAAATTGAGCATGAGTTAGTTGTTGTTGAAGATGAAATTGAAATACCCAATGTTGAAGAAACTGAATGAATATCCTCTTTAACATTTAATGGATTAAAGTTTGGTATCCCTAATTGATGTTGGCTCATATTTAAGAATGATGTGTTTGTATTATTTGATTGATAAACCATTGGTGATGACATTGATGAAGGTAATGAACTATCGCTAATACTGAGACTATTCTTTATTAGTGGCGATTGGTTATATATTGGCAAACTATTTGTTTTTGGTGAAGGTGTTTTTGGATTGTTTTTTATTGGTGAACTTTGAATATTATTTGATTGCTGATGATACTGTTGTGTTGTTTGTTGAATATTTGAATGT